GAATCAAAGAAGGAGGAGTCGAAAAAGGCAGGAGCTCCAGCAGCGGGAGGCAAACCAGCGGCGAAGACGATCAAGACGCTGAAGAACCAGTTCGCCATGAACCGCATGGTGCTGATGCTGATGGACGTCCGCGGCGACCGCCTCTCCCCGGAGACAATCCAGGATCTGAAGCGCATCTACGCCCTTCTCGTCAACATTCACTCGGCGTACAGTGCCGCCGGGAAGCAGTGTGGCCCGGCTGCTGCTGCTGCCCCAGCGGCCCCAGCTGCCGGCGATGGCGCCAAAGCTGCGGAAGGCGCCTCAAAAGGTGCTGGTGCCAAAGCAGGCGACGCAGGCACATCAAAAGCCGGTGAGGCGGGCAAAGATGGCAAAGACGCCGGTAAAGATGGAAAAGATGCTGCTGGAAAAGATGCCGCGGGTAAAGATGCAGGAGCCTCAAAGGGAGCTGGCGCTGGTGCTGATGCGGCCAAGGCGGCTGATCCGCTGGCAGCCTTTGGAGCCGCTGGTGCTTCAAAGGCGCCCGGAGAGGGCGCCTCAAAAGGAGCTGGAGCAGGATCCAAAGACGGTAAAGCTGCGGATGGTGGTGGAAAAGATGGAGCAAAAGGTGCCTCAAAAGATGGCAAAGCAGATGGTGGCAAAGATGGCGCCAAGGGGGCATCAAAGGATGGTAAAGCAGATGGTAGCAAAGACGCCGGCGGAAAAGGTGCCGGTTCGAAGGACGGCAAAGCCGATGGGTCAAAGGACGCAGCTGGCAAAGGAGGTGCTTCGAAAGACGGCAAAGGCGGCTCAAAGGACGCTGCTGGGGCCGGCTCTAAAGACCCTACAAAAGGAGGCTCAAAGGACGCCTCAAAAGACCCGGCGAAAGGAGGCGGCTCTAAAGACCCTGCTGGGGCCGGTTCTAAAGACCCTGCAAAAGGAGGCTCTAAAGATCCTGCTGGAGCCGGCTCAAAAGATCCGGCAAAAGGAGGCGGTTCTAAAGATCCGGCCGCTAAAGGCTCTGCTAAAGATGGCTCTAAGGATCCTGCAAAGGGTGGCTCAAAAGACGCCAAAGGCGGTGGATCAAAGGACGCCGGTGGAAAGGGAGCCGGATCGAAGGACGGCAAAGCTGATGGTTCAAAGGATCCAGCTGGCAAAGGCGGCTCTAAAGACGCTAAGAGCGGTTCAAAGGACGCCAAGGGAGGCGCCTCAAAAGATGCAAAGGGGGCGAGTGCCAAGGGCGGCGGCGCCTCAAAGGATCCGAAGGGCTCAAAGGCGGCAGGGTCAAAGGCGGGCAAGGATGCGCCTAAAGGCTGAAGTGATCATTCAGTTTTCATCATCACCATCACTGCAGCCACTGATATGATTTNTGTCATGCAAATAAAGAGCATTTTACGATTCCAGATAACGAAGCAGAGACTGAAGCACAACACAGTAGTGAGTTCAATGCACTCCACTACAAATTACATTTCTGTTGAAATCTTATGTAGAGAGCTGGCACAGTAATTGGCACAGTGCAACCAGTGCCTTCCAGCGAATGAATCACGCACAAAAGTGTCACCTGAATTACAGCAGCAGCAACAACAACCACTTGCTGTGGCGCCCAGCCAT